TTATTAAGCTTGGCAAAGTTGAATAAACATAGACAAAGCGTAGCTTATTATGAACAACTCTTTCAAAGTAAAAACATGGTCAAGTCAGAAGCACAAAATAGTCAAACCCATCCCCTCCCTTTCCTTCTCCTGATGGATGCCAACACAAAAAAATATTAGAAAGTGATAAAAATCAAGCATAAGGGCTGTGAGATGTCACACAGCCACGAAAACATGCCAGAGCTCTCCAGCCTTGGCCCCAATTTGAGAGGGTGACAGGAAACAGTGAGGGGAGAGATGGCAGAGTTACTGTAGAGAGGCGAGCGTGAGCTCTCAAACCACATCCCAACACCACAGGGCGACTTCACCCTTTTTAACAGCACCATATTTCCCCAAAATGTATCAGACGTAGCACGTGATAGCAAAATGGCAGTGAAATCTCTGATAAATCCAAGGAGCAGTTTTTTTTCTCTTGAGGGAAGGGCTGTCTGCTAAAATCATTTAAAGGGAGTGACGAGAAATTCTATAACTGTACAAATAACGAGAAGTAAGTAAAAATAACTCCTTCAGATATATCTTAGGGGTTAAACGAAAGATTACATGGACAAGAAAGAAAAAGGAACAGATTTTGGGTACATAGCATGATGGACAGTTTCAGTCTTGGTTCTTTGTGAAATAATATAGAGCTCTTCATCAGGCCTTTAATTAAAATCAAATAAAGGAATCTGAGGAGCTAAAAATCACTCTTTGATGGAATAGCTTTCATTTCTATCTGTGATGTGGGTGCTCAAATAGACATTGGTTAATCTTGAAGTGGTCTCAAAAGACTGCAACATTGAGCAACCATGTATGTGTGTTTTTTCTGCAAAGAGCAGCTTCACATTCATGTTTTTTTACATGCCCTGCCACCTCAGAGCTATCAGTTATGTACCTATGGTCTGAGGCGGCATGAAGCTTCACTCCATCTATTCCGAGATTGTGAGGGTTTGAGATGTATACTGAAGTAACAAGATCTCTGGTTGAACTCTCACAAGACGGAGATGGGGGAAGCAGAGAAAAACCAAGCAGCGAGCATCCGCCTCATACTCGGCTCTACAGGGTGCATTTGTGTGCGTGCATGAGAGTGTGTGCGTTTATGTTGTGGGTGTTTGTGTATCCTTTCTCCAGCAGGACCCCCAGATCAAAACCGCAACCCACTCTCCCTCCCCATTTCTCTCTCTTTCTCCGTCTCTCCACCCCCTCTCTCATTAAAAACTGCAGGCCCTGGCTTCTAATTAAATCCCACTTGAAAAGTCTTAAAGTCAGCCTCAGATTGATTCAATTTGCATTTCTGAACAGAGAACATTGCCTAAAAGGATTAATAAATTGGACGGAAAAAAATTCCTTCTTTCTGCGCCACGCCGTCAGAGCTTGTAAGACAACATCCAAAGAGAAATATCCCCCCTCAACAAACGTCTATCCAACATATGCTCTTGCTCTCTCTCTTGCACGTCCCTCCCAGGATGCCAGCAGAGATGTGGAAGTGTGTGTGTGCGCATGCATGTCCTCGTCTGTGGAACAAGCACATAGTCCTCTGAGGCACAGGCACGCAATCTGACTCTCACTGTGTGTGTGTGTGTGTGTGTGTGTGTGTGTGTGTGTGTGTGTGTGTGTGTGTGTGTGTGTGTGTGTGTGTGTGTGTGTGTGTGTGTGTGTGTGTGTGTGTGTGTGTGTGTGTGTGTGTGTGTGTGTGTGTGTGTGTGTGTGTGTGTGTGTGTGTATGTATGCCTGTGTGTGTGTGTGTGTGTGTGTGTGTGTGTGTGTGTGTGTGTGTGTGTGTATGTATGCCTGTGTGTGTCTGGGTATTTGTGTGTGAGAGGGACGACTTTGTTGGAGCGTGCCAGAGTGCTGAAAGTGACAAGGAGGCACAGTGGGAAAAGATCCTTGCTGTACTGTATGCATGTGCAAAAACAGACCTCGGCAGTGGAGCCATGCATTTGGCTAGTGGACACCTACAGCAACATGTTTGCAAACCCAAAAACATATCGGCAGCCAGAGCCAGAATCAATTAGTGCGATAAAACGAAATGAGCAAGTCCCTTCAAACAAAGCACAAGCTGAGACCGTTGCCAGAAAAGAAAAGCAAGCACTAATACAAAGAATTACATTTGGATTGAAACAGAAGTCCGTCTGGAAGTGTACGCGTACAGGCTCTTTGTGCATTTGTGACATAAGAAGAATATTCCTTTGTGACATTTCGTCTGATTATACCTATCAGGTGCATTTGCAAACAAATCTTATAATTTATTTTCCTTATAAGTTCAGTTCTTTATGTTTATGATGTTTTTATCTGATCAGTGGAGATCACTCATGATCCTTCGTTCATAAAAGCGCTTTGCAAGTGTTGCAGAAGAACTGAAGTGTGTTGCTAATGTTTTTCCTGTATACCCACTGTGAACATTTGAAAAGTATGACTTAGACCAGAGCAGACTGTTGGATGGGAGACATTGTCACTGTTGTTATTTGCTACTCAAACTGGCTTGTATAATGGCTGAATGACTTTAATAGACTGCTGGGAGCTCAGTGGTTGAAGCCGTATTAATAAAAAACTAGAACCACATGGAGGTCCTGACAAACAGACGGGCACACAATATACAGTAGGCATGGCTCCACTGCACAACACTTGGTTTGCCTGTAATTACAGCAACGCAGGAAGAAACTACAATTTGATTCATCCTCAAATACATCTAACACAGAACTGTATGAAATGGAAACAAAGCCCAAGATTTTTACATTATAACATTTCATATTTATTGAAAATAAGATCCATAATTAGAATTAAAGTCTTAGAGTTTAAAGAGGATCGTGAGGGCAAAATGATAAGTGGTACGGTGCTGTGCTCAGAGGAAAGCACAATATAATCATGATGAAATATATTCACAGAGAGGAAAGTGGCAGAATGATCTTGCCCTGCTTTGTATAAACCAACACTGACCCCTAGTGATATTAGTTAGGATAACCAGAAAGTGATTTGCATAATGCCTGGATGCATGCAACTGTGAACAACCTTATGTCTCTTATTTTCTCTCTTGAGTGTGTGTCTATACATGTATGTTGTTTTTTTCATTGTTCTTTCAAGTGTGTGTGTGTGTGTTCATAGTGCATGCACAGGCCATATGCATGTGTGTTTATTTCTCAACACACAGTATGTACAAGAACACTTAAGTATAGAGTCTGAGTACAGTGCGATACCATGAGGTGTGTGTGTTTGTGTGTGTTCTAATAATGGTGCCTGGTGGACTGGGGCTTCCTTTGATGCGATGAAGGCTGACAGGCGTGAAACAGGTCCAATCAGGCGCGTGGGCACTGCCAATTAACCCTTTTCACCGTGTGAAACCAAACATAATTGCCTTGGGTGCAGGGGGCCATTGGGCCATGGCCTGCCCAGCGTAGGCTGAAATGGGCATTAGCAGTGCTGCCAGGTGACCATTACACACAATTGAACTGCTGGGGGTTTCTCCAAATCACACAGTTACAGTTGCTACCCAGACGTAATTGGCATGGCATTACTAAATGGCCCCTATTTCTAATTTTCACACCTACACAATTTATCTGGAGTATCTTTAGACTCATTGTACTGTGCCAGGTTTATTACACTTCTGCAGGCAAACTGTATTTCTGTGGTACTTTGCTCTGATTTAGTTCTGGGAGCATGGATGATACATTGTTTGAGATATTAAATTTCTCTATTTGTAGTGAAGCTGCTATGATTCTGTTAACAATGTTATGATAATATTAACTGGAACAGATAGTGGTTAATAAGTAAAGCTTTGTGTGTACTGATAATCACATTGTATTCATGTTATGCTCAAGGCAAATACCCCACATTTGTATTCAAACACCAAAAACTAGAGCAGTTTAAATGAAACTAGAGCAGTATTCTGCTGCAATAATAATGTTTACCAAAATTACATTCCTATTTTTCTTGTTTTTATATTCTTGCGATTAATTAATGATCATGACTATTAACATAATGTGGTAAAATAAAAACGTTTTATTCATGAGACTTTATTTTAAATTAAAGAGCTGCATAAAAACAATGACAAATACATTACAATACATTTGCTGCATTATTACTAGCAATAGCCGTCTCAGTGCCGCTTGTTTAGGTTCTTGGACATGTTTGTTTGCGATATTACATTTGCTGTTCTATGCAGTACAATTTGTGCAATAGCCTTTAACTACGTAACATGTATTCATTAGCAGGCCGTAAGCTTGACTTATAATACAAATTAGTAATGTATTATTATATTAGTAATGCCACTCAATTGACAGTTGGTTCACCTATCTTAAACTAATTCAGCATAATACATAATAACAGACTGCGATAAATCCCACCTTCATAATGCTCAGGATGTTTTCGTATGTGTTATTTATATAAATCTGTATTCACACACAATCAGTGGCCAAACTGCATCAAAACTAAAGATTGTTAACTAATTGTAACTATCACAAATACAGCCTGCTAATAAATTAGCACAATTTAAATTGGGCAAATAGTAGGCTACTGTACATCACAGTGTGCATAGGCCTACTGTGTACATGCATTATATGTTTTGGTACTGCATGTAAGAGATACTATATAATTGGGATAAGATAAGATCATGTATTAATCCCTGTAGGGAGATTCAGGTGTCAAAGCAGCAACAGTACTAAGAGTCAAACACAGGAAAGAAAAGAAAATAGTTAATACAAGGATCACGATATTAACAAATAAAGAATGTAGGAAATTAAGTGATTTTAAAATTACATTTATTATTATGAATATGTTAAATACATAAACATGTGAATTGGAAGTGCAAGTCCAAAGTAGGTAGCCTACATTAGGGTGCAAGTAATACATTTAAGTGCAGGTTGTTAGAAGTGTTTATTTTTTACATAAGGATATTTTATATATTTATAATGTGTTTCATATTGTTATTGTTTCATGGCTGTCTTTCTCCCATCTTCTCCTTCCGCCAGGGGTCGTATTTTAACCCTCTCTCCATCCTCCATCCTGCCCGCCTGTGTGACTGACTGCCCAACGAGAAATGTTGGCAAAACACCCCCTCCTCATCGTGTAGGGAGAGAAAATATGGCGGACAAGCGCTAAATCCACATCAGAAACAAACACACACGTTACAAAGCAAGGTAAACATCCTCGGATACATCGAGCACGTCCTCTTTTAGCCTCGGCTTCAGCATTGCGCCCAGATTTCCACTGGTTAGCCTCTTGTATGCTAGTACTCTGCTCCCTTTCTGCTAATGCTAATATTTATAATCAGGAGCTAACGAGCCACCTAGCATGCTAACGTAGCATCCCGGGCAGTGGGCATGTATCTGTGTTGCAGTGCGTAGCATAGCATGCTGGAAGTGGTGTCTGCACGACTGCACTTTGCATGCATGGTTTGTTTTCATTCATTGTTAATGCTTTATACCTTAAAGTCTATCCTCAGTGCAGTGTTTGCCTCCTGAAATAGCAATTCTGTCACGTAAATGAGCATCTAACCCGAATGCAAATGCACCCCAGGAGAGGGCGGTGGGGGTCCCATGTGTTGGCTTTGTGTTTTGAATGGAGCACAACACATTTCTTCCATGTGAGACGCGATGTTTGTGGCTATAAATGGCAACAGCGTCCCGTGTAGATGACAGAGAAGTGGCACAAGCTGGGTGTTGAGTTGTAAACACTCAGTGGGTCAGCAACAGGAGGGAGGAGTGCCTGCTGCTCTCTAACGCCAGTCCTGTCACTTTACCCAGACGGAAACACGCAGGGACCGGGCCGCTTTCATTTGGACGCCACCCCCCCTTGGCGGAGGAAAAAGGCGCACTTCCATTGAAGAGGAAATCATCCGGGGAGGAGAAACACTGCGAAACGGTTATGAAGTTTTAAGGTAGGTAATGTTTATATGAGCACCAAGTTACTTTGTCAGTTCTCTGTTGCTTTGTTGGGCGAATTTCTTTGCGACTTTAATTATAATGCCTCTGTAAATGTTAAGCGGACAAGTGTCGCTATAACGTTACTGTGTGTGTCAGTACTGGCTTGTGCATGTTTTAAACACTTGCACAATTTCTTTCACTCGTGAATTGAAGTATCAGACACTTTAAATGTTATTTTTGTCGCTATATTTTACATATCAAAACTTGTTTGGAAATGTTTAAAAAGCCCTCGCATCTTCTCTGTTAGTTAGTTTGTTTCTGCCTTATCATAAACGTAAATCTAATCTTAGTTGTGGTCTATTTTTGATTTACTTCATGTCAAATCAATTCCACTGAACTGTGGGACTAGAAAGACTATTACTTGAAGCACTTGTTCAGTCTGACCTGTTGACCTGGATGTTGTGTCTGGTTGGTAAAGTTGGTTAAGGTTACATTAGGAGTAAGTGAGCCTTAAAACATGTTGCTCTTATCCAGTGGTTGATATTCTGCCTAGTAAAGCTTTATCTTCTTATAAACCCAATATTATATTTTTATTTTAAATGAGATTACGACATGGTATATTTTAATCAACGTTGTGTGTAATACAAATACAAGCAATTTGAGCTCAGTGATACACACACATGTTTGAGGCAGTTGGTGATATATATATATATATATATATGGTTAATATCGTAGTGATTTAGAGGCTATAGTTTGTGCTGCTGTTTTATTACGAGGTGTTTCCAATATTTGGTCCCCTTCGTTTATATCAATTACTGCCTGAACATGCAGTTAGCACAGCAAGGAGCTTGTATTGCATTTGGATATTTAAGTGAATCCTTAAAGTGTGAAAAAGCTGATTAAATCCATATGTAGTACATTGTCGGCGTACTCTCTGGTTTCTTTGTTGAACTTGCCTCGGCTTTGCCTCCCATGACGACCCCCTGCCTGGAGAGTAGGCCAGCGAGCTACAAAGATAACAGGGGCAGCGCTCTGGTTTCCCTTAGAAATGCAGTACAGTTAACACGTAGGAGCCTATCCTTGGCTCTGAATGCTCCTGCATGTTTATTGGTGGGATCAAGCCTACAAATAGTTAGATTTTCAAAGTTACTTTCTGATATAACAACAAAACAGACCCTTCATTTTTAAACAAATGTACAGTATAAATTAGATGCCGAGTACCTAATCCCTTTGAGATATACAAATAAAACTCATTATTGACATGAATACGGGTGGTTAAATCTTCCATTCACTCAAAATAAGCTTTTAACTATAAACGCACAATATATTAAAGCCTGCTGGGTCTCGTATATAAGTTTTACGATGCCTTCAGAACAATTTAAACAGCAACCCCTTTGAGTAGGTTTGAGGTTGGAGAAATACAATCTGCCTGACAGTACTATACATTGAGCTTATTCCAGCTCTTGCCTTTGAAATGAAGTTAAATGAACCAACATACAAGTGAGGTCTAAGGGATGATGGTCTTTTTAAATGCATACATTTGTGTTACACCTTTAGGGATAAACTATATATAGTGCGTGAGCTGCTTTTTTTTTAAGATGCTGTGTGGCCTGTATATTTTTACCAGCTTAATCTACAATAAAATGGTCACATTAGCAACTTATTTACTTTATTTAAAGCTCTAAGTTATTTTTGTGCCTTTTTCTTCCTATAGAGTGGAGGCCACTGTTGTGTTGTGAGCTTGGTCAGTATTGTTGGAGCATGAGGAAACCTGTGCCACAGAAAGGTAAGAATTGATCACACCACGCTCAGTATGATTTGTAACAAACAATATTCATAGAAGCCTGCTTGGGAAGTTGAAGTATAGCATACAAAACAACCCCTGTGTTTTTACTGTGCAGGCAGATTCATATATGATCTTGTAATAGTCCTGTTATCACAGTCAGTGTTTGGAGCAGGGACTGGGGGCTTGTATTGCAAGGTACTGACTGATGTGAAAATCACCCGTAGTTTAGAGCTTATTCTATCTGTCTCGGCTCCTGTAGCTTTAGAGTGGAAAGATGCCAGAAGGATCAAGCATGCCCGGAGTGGACGGCCCTCCCGGGTGCCCTCACAGTACCAAGGTAAATAACCCACAGCAGCCGGTGATATATGAAGGCACTTTTGAGCAATTCCAACGGGAAAATAGTGCCAAGGGATTTGCCTCAACATTTTTCATTAATCATCAAGACAAAGTTTGCTACAAATGTGGATAATAGATGTTAAGCCTTGCGTGTCTTTGGCATTTTGTGTTGAGGTTTACAAAACATGTACAATTCAAGTCAAAATGAATAAAAACCTGAACATTTATGCAGCTTATCACGACTGGAAAAACACATTTACACAACGTTTACATTCTGATGTTTTTGTTCTTCAGGACATTTTAGTTGGGACAAATACCTTAAAGAGACAGGGGCCTCGAGCGCTCCCTCTTCTTGCTTCAGACAGGTGAGCAAGATTTAAATGTGCACTCTCAACTCAAAACTATTTCTTAGCATATCTTCAACTCAGTTATTTCTCCACTGCTGTTAATATGTTGACACTCTCCAACTTGTCTGTCATCACCATCTAGAGCCTCACACCTCCACTAAACGAGTTCAAGGCCGGGATGAAGCTGGAGGCCCAGGACCCCCGAAACACCACGTCCACCTGCATCGCCACAGTGGTGGGCCTGACGGGCTCGCGGCTGCGGCTGCGCCTCGACGGGTCGGACAACAAGAACGACTTCTGGCGCCTCGTGGACTCCTCAGAGATCCAGCCAATCGGCAACTGTGAAAAGAGCGGAGGCATGCTGCAGCCCCCGCTTGGTAAAGACACAGACAAATGCTTTCTACGGACACAGTGTCTCTTTTTCATTTTGGGTCCACTAGGTGTCAGTGACTAACAGCACCGAAAAGTCAATGTGTCATGTTGTTGACTATAAATAACTTCCTGACACAACGTAGAAAGCCTCTTATCTAGGTCATTTCCGTATCAAAACCCCACGGGAAAAGACACAAACACTCTGTTTGTCTGCCTATATATCTGTAGGGCTGCAACTAATTACTCTTTCATTATTTATGAATCTGCTAATTATTTTCTTGATTCATAATTTAGTCTAGTAAATGTCCAAATGTGCTAAAAACTCATTAGATTTTAATTTCAAGTCAATTTAATTTCCTAAGATGTGTTTTGACCGACCAGCAGTCCCAAACTCTAAAAATATATTTATATTACGGTAATACAAAACACAGAAAAGCATCACCATGTTCACATGAAGCTGGAACCAGAGTTTTGGCTTGAATGATGACTGAAATAACAAATCAATCAATTATGAAAATGGTTGCAGGTCATTTGTATTCACTTGACAGAGTGATTATTTGTGTTCCCATGATTTGTTTCTTCAATCTCACCATGTTTATCATATAATATTTAGATTTTACGATTTTGTAGAAATGACAACATTTGTTATCTGATGCAGGTTTTCGTCTCAATGCGTCCTCTTGGCCCATGTTCCTTTTGAAAACACTAAATGGAGCGGAGATGGCGCCCTCGCGCATCTTTCACAAGGTACCTGTGCATGGCTCACAATCTCAATACACTCTAAAAACAACTTGCTGTCCCATATAAAGGGGAACACAAGCATGTTTCATTACTTATTCTTAGTAAGATTGTACTCTCTTAACAACAATTCACCAGCATTTAGTAGATTTACCTGCACTTACCTGGTACAAATAAATGCACACATGCCAACTTCATACCTGACCCCCTGTCGTTCTCTTCATGTTCCCCAGCAGGAGCCTCCCGCCCCGGAGCAGAACTCCTTCCAGGTGGGCATGAAGCTGGAGGCGGTTGACCGCAAAAATCCCCACTTCATCTGCCCGGCGACAGCTGGTGCGCTGCGTGGTGTGGAGGTGCTGGTCACCTTCGATGGTTGGCGCGGAGCCTTCGATTACTACTGCCGCTACGACTCGAGGGACATCTTCCCCGTGGGCTGGTGCGCCCTCACAGGGGACAACCTGCAGTCGCCTGGAACCAAAGGTCTGTATCTTTCAATAGATGGCTGGATGTTTTGTGAAAAAAGGGTGTTATATCTCAGCAAAAATCGTTTTCACTGTATTGCTAAGGAGGCTGAAACACACAAAACAGGTGGTTTTGAAGCGTAGGTTGGTAGTTTAGGAAGACTGGTCCTTTAAAGACACAAACATTCATGGTCCACCTACTCATGGTTTTTACTTGTTGTCCTGATTGGATGTCTTTTTCTTAGTGAGAGTGTACAAATTGACATGTCCTTGTCTCTCCAGATACAACTTATACTTGTACTATTCCAATTGGTATGTCAAGATCAGCATTCACAGAAAAAAAACGACCTTCATAGGTTTCACCAACTTTCACATGAGCAGAGATCCAATCATTGTGGTTAACATGAAATACCTTTATTGGTGTGCAGGGTCTTTCAAAACAGAAAGGACAACATTACCCAAGTAGGCAAATTGTGTTACCTCATTATCTAGCTTAGTAGAAGGAGCATTTTATCCCGTTGTCGCCTTCCTGCCTCCTCCTTGTATGGAGCTTTTTTCTTTTTCAGGAAAAGTTTCCACAATCACCACTACTACTTTGGGATAACTATTGTTAGCTATTTGGTTGAGTTGCCTCGTAGCAAAATGCTCTCTGGTACGCAGTGATGCAGTGTATATGTGTAGGGCTTTTATTGTGAAGGTAAGAACGGATGGAGTGTCGTTGTGATTCTGCTGTATCGGTTCAGACTACGGAGCCTTGTATTGCTGTTTTATTACTTTCATAATTAAGACACATCCCAAGTGCTATACTCATTCTTTGTGTGCCATAAATCAAGCCTTTGTTTTCCTGTGAGATTGCAACCCTATGGCAGATAGGTCTGCATATTGTAAGCGAGGCTTGCAGGGAACCAATTGAAACGCAGATGGTGTCATTATTCTACAGCCGTTAGATTGTGCAATCAGCATTTACTTCACGATGATAAGGTAAAGCACAAGAAGGTGTCTAATGCTACTTTAAAATGAGATGAATTAGTATACGGAGTTGGACACACACATTCCAATAAGTTAGTTTGTAAGACATTTTCATATTTCATATATTTATATATGGAATATGTAATTATCATAGTTACATTGGCACATCCATGACCTTTTTAAGTCAACAAAACGGGTATTATATTTACACTTCCTTTTGATTGCATTACAGTCAGTGTATTTTCAAAACTCATGCTGATATATTTTAAGAAGAAGCACTTTAAAATCACTTTTGGTTCTTATTTTTGGACACCCTTGAGTGGTATTTATTTGATTTGTTTTCCTTCTTTGCTTGTACATTTTTGCCACAATAATGAGGCGCTTTCTTCAATATATTGAGCTGGAGTTCTGCTTTTCATAGTATTTATGGGTTTGTTTGGTCCTGCTGTGTAACGGAAGATCATCATCTGCCTGAAGGCATCATTAGCAACAATTGATCAAGTCATTTACATGAGTTTGCTATTTTTTATTGCTAATGCTGTGAGCTCTCTGCGGATATAATTATAACTCTGTTTGCAAACTCTGCTTCCAGTATCTAATAAAATGATGTCTAGTTTGTAAAAAGTTGCAGTATGCACACCAGTCATTTTCCCACTGTCAGTCTTTTCTCATTTAGCAAACAAGGATTTTTCTTTTCCCCAGTTAGTGTCTCCTAAAGCAGGAAGTTGCCATGAATAATGTCTCCTCACGAGGAATCAGAGGAAGCAATTTGTCATACAGGAAACATAAAAGGAAGAAAGTGGATACAGGGGTTATCAGCCAGAAGGTCAGCTGTACTCCTCAGTTAGAGTTCATAGTATCTAAAGGAGTGGAAAAGGAAGGAGGGATGTAAGGGATGCAGGACATGCCTTTGTAGCCTTCTGGTGTTTTATGAAGGCCTGGCACCCCCCCAGTTGGCAGAGCCGGGCCCTGACGTGGTTGAAAGGAGCCCGGGTTTCCCTCCACAGGCCTCTCGCTGGCACCCCGGCTAACAGCTTCTGATTAGACACTTAGGAGGGAATTTAGTTAAGAGAGGGGACAGAAACCAAGAGAAAAGACAGACGTATGCCGTGAGAGGAGGATTGTTTACATTGTTAGCAGATGGTGGGAGGAGAGAAGAAGAAGAAATACAAAATAGGAGGAGCAAAGGCAGAGGAAGAGTGGGAGAGGAGGACAGGGCAGGAGGAGAGGGTGAATCTGAGGACAGCTGTGCAGACTACCGCACACTTTTGACTTTTTTTTGGGCACGAGAGGTGAGTAAAGATGAACGGAATTACAGAAATGCAGTCGGAGTGATAGATTTGACGCTTTTCAGTAGATATCTTCCTGTAATGAGAAGCTGGAAACAGTTTGTGAACTCAATGAACTCGGTGCACTCACAGGAGAGAGAAAAAAAAGGGTTTGCCTCGTGTTTGTTTGGCTGTATTTACAAGCACTGATCAATGAACATGTAACCTCGAGCTGGAACCTTTTAAACACATTATCTAAGGTTCAACCAATCTGTTTAGGGTCAATCAGGTGTCTTGTTTTTCTCTCCCTTATGAAAAGTTGCAGTAGCCCCGAGGACTGAGCTTTGCATTGATTGGTGGTCCCGTGTGAGAGTGTGTTTAATAAATAAAGCTCCTCGGGCCAAGGCCTGTGTTAATGAATGTGGCTGCTGCACTCGTAAATCTCTGTGTGTGTGTGTGTGTGTGTGTGTGTGTGTGTGTGTGTGTGTGTGTGTGTGTGTGTGTGTGTGTGTGTGTGTGTGTGTGTGTGTGTGTGTGTTGTGTGTGTGTGTGTGTGTGTGTGTGTGTGTGTGTGTGTGTGTGTGTGTGTGTGTGTGTGTGTGTGTGTGTGTGTGTGTGTGTGTGTGTGTGTGTGTGTGTGTGTGTGTGTGTGTGTGTGTGTGTGTGTGTGTGTGTGTGTGTGTGTGTGTGTGTGTGTGTGTGTGTGTGTGGTGTGTGTGTGTGTGTGTGTGTGTGTGTGTGTGTGTGTGTGTGTGTGTGGGTGTGTGTGTGTGTGTGTGTGTGTGTCAGGTGCATGAGAAGTCTTCTATGTGGCTGTTGTTTTAATGCACACATTCCTGGGGTTTGTCCAGCTGTGTTGGCTTTATTTATTTGGCTATTTTGATGTATTTAGAGCAGGCCCGGCTCTAAATGATATTTCCATGTGCATGTTCCCTCAGTGGTTAATGTGATTTGTGAAATGTTTCCCGTCAAGATAGGCAGGGTGTGTGTGCATGGGTGGGAGTGTGAGAGATACATCTTAAGACCGTCTCTTAGCTGTCAGCAGCGTACTTCTTTATTAGGGTTTATTCCTCAGGCGCTTAAGGCGTTCACACATTTCTTCTCATTTTCATTCCAGCAGGAGGTTGAAGGTATGCCAGAAAAAAAGATTTTCTTTCTTTCAAACAGATTTTTTCCCTTCACCTTTCAGCCTGTGTTCTTTCAGTTTTTAGTTTTCCATCTGCCTTATACTTTTTGTGGTAGTTACAGATCACAGTTTATCCAGGTAGTGTGTGTTTGTAAGATTTTTTTAAATATAATACTGAAAGAATATATGGTTTTCCACCAGATATCCAGCATAGTACTTCTTTACATGTTGTGTTTTCTGTCCATCCAGAGCAGTACAACCTAAACTAAATGCATAAATAGATACCATTAGAATGGGAAATAGTGGGAAACATGTTTCTTTTCCGTTATGTAGATAAACCAACCTTTAGTATTGCGAGATAAATTACCATAATTACTCTAAGCAGTGTATTGATGTCTTACCGCAAAACAAAGTATCGCTGTAAGTGTTGCATCTATTATTTTCCCCTCCTTTAACCTGACTCCCATGAAGAGAAATTATATTGCAGAGAATTTCTCAAGAGTCTGACTTCTCTGACCTTATTTATATGCAGAAAAAAGGCCAAATAAACCCTTTGAGTTCACTGGCAGATTAAAATTCAAAGAATGAGCAATCTTCAGGAGCGAAGTGGAGCATGCACCTCGTGATGTCACCTCTCACCCTCTCCTCTCTCTCTGTGAAGCACTCTCACCGTCTGAGAGGAGTAGCTTTGTGACCTCTTGCTTATAACCACCAAGTAAGGAAATGGTGGACTTTCTCTGCTGCTTTAGCTCAGGTTTTTGCATTGAACGGTGCTGTATTTTTTTAATAACTAAATGCTACAGATTATGAAATGAAGTTGTACATGTTTTAGTCTGCATTAGACAGAAGTATTTTTATCCTAGGTGAGTAATGCTAATACCTGATGAGCCACATGCATGGAGAGTGTATAATGTGTGTGCATGACACCACTTTCTTCTTGGTTGGCTGCAGCTAAAGTCAGCGGGGACTGTAGCCAACAGCGTAAAGGCTCCATGGATGAGTGAGCAGTCGGGTACATGACTCACACTGCTGTGTGTTGGTGTTAGGAGCTGCCATTCACATCACATAACCACATCATGTAGGTTTTAAATGACTTATTATGTGGAGAATATTCTGTTCTAGGATCACAAATGCTTTTAATGTGAAAATAACTACTCTGACTGTTCAAACATTATTACATTACTGTGCACCCCCTGTGATTAAATGGGTAGCCTGGAGCTATAGTTGTTCATTTGTTATATTTCACTGTTAAGCCACAGCTTTTTACTCATCTCCCCTTCTTTCTGTGTATTTGTCCATCTCTGCCCGTGCGCTAGTGTTGCCTAAGAGCCTCGGGCCATTGACAGACGGGAGTGTGGAGAGCCCGGCCATGCACCCCCCGCCCACAGTGGGCAGGCCTCCAGGTCAGAGAGGACGAAAGCCAGGCCGCAGGAAAACCAAGGTGACGGCGCTGTGGAACCAGAAGGGCCCGGCGCTGGGGCCGCAGAGCCTCCAGCCTGTCAAAGTCCTGGAGCCCATCAAGATCCCCAAGAAGAGAGGGCCCAAGCCTGGCAGTAAGGTAGGCATGAGGAGGTGAAGAGGGACCATCAGGGACAGACGATTATCTTTATTGATCATGGCATGGTCAGTTTATCTTGATTTAAAAAAAACACATTTATTGCATTTATATAAATGATGTCAATCTAGTCCTGCAGATAGCTTTGATTTTATATTCTCAGGTTTTGTGGTATCTGTGCATAAGATTTCCGCCTTTTCCCCCGATACACCGACGTCAATGCTAGACTTTTTATTTGATTCTGATAGGACCATGTCTGTTCAAAGTGAGGTCTGTGGATTATTGAAATTTGTTTAAGAGATTATAAAACATGGTCATTTTTCAATGTGGTGATCGCATCAATTCCATTCTACTGTATTCAAGTGTCTGCAGAAATCTCAGGGGCAAAGTTGTCATAATTATGTATGTATTTGTTTCTACAGAGCTTAATATTGGAGGTAAAATAAAACGAGTTTAGGGAACCAAAGACTGACTGACGTTCAAAAATGATTGCTTATTTCTGTGATTATGCTATCTTCTGATGGGCCTCTGTTCAACATGTCTGACCTTGTGTCATTGTGTAGTATCCCAGCAAGGAAAGTTACCCCACTTGACTCTTTGTCTCTTCTTTTTGTTTTTCAGCTGGGCTGGGCGAAGAGAGCAGGCTGGCTGGAAGATGCCATGGCCGGTCCAGGAAGGCCAGTGACGGGCCCCGGGAGAACCAGGGGCCGCCTGCCTGCTAACTGGGCCCAGAGGATCGCTCTGCAGCAGGCCCAGACTCAGGCCGAAGAACCCGTCAAAATCCCAAAGAAAAGAGGGCCCAAGCCTGGCAGCAAGGTACACACACACTGAAACACAGAATATCAAAAAGAGATATTTATTCTTGAAAACACTCATTAGCATTTCAGGGGTTAGCAGGATGTGTTTACCAGTGACAGTTTATTAGTACTTTAAAAGTCTCTTGGGATATTTTATTATCTCTCCTCGCCACATCCTGCTTTCCTCTTTGTTGTTACCTTACCGTTTTGTTTTGTTACCTTTTCTACCAATAAGACTAGCGAGCCCCTTTTTAGGGAATATGTTTCAAAATCCTAAGCACATTTTTAAAAGGGTGGATCAAACTTGTTGGTTGTGTGTTAGATTAAAAAGCATGAAGGCATCCTGTTTGCCACCTTTTTCTTTCTTCAGTTAAAGCAGATTGAGCTGGTTTCCATTTTAAAGGCAACAATATATTATTACAAAAACAAAGCGGCTGTCCACAACAAATGTTTCATGCTGGCAAAACAGGCAGCCTCACTCATCAGGTTCAAATAATGTACTGAAGACAAATGAATGGTAATACTTGGCAGAGTCATGACTGTCTTTCTTTTGTTTACTGACAAAACACCATGTCACATTCACCGGTAGGCCCTTTGTTTTGAAATGATGCTATATAATGAGCTATTAAAGACATTACACAAATGTACAGATGGTATCGAACCAGCAAAAACCCAAATGTTATATAAATGTGTGTGTTTGTCTCCAGAGGAAACCCCGGGTGGTCCCTAATCCGGTCCCCACGTCTCCCACCACCAGCACCCCAGAGCCCGACACCAGCACTGTGCCTCTGGACAACGCCACCATCCCCAACTCTGCACTACAGGCCCCCACAGGTACACAACACCCACACACCTGGACATAAAGCATATTATTATTTATGCCTGGGATGTCCTGGCTGTTTGTAAAGCTGTCACTCACAAATAGCAGTGAGTATAGAGTACAGACAAACCACTTGTTTTTTAACCACACAACATGTTTGTCATTTATTAACACAGCTGAAAAACTAGAGGGACAACCGTTGCTATGTTACTCTGCTATGAACATTCTGTTTCCATAGTAACAAACTGACACTGTCCAACGGTTTACTATGTGAGTGTGATTGTAAAACATCACAAAAAGGCCACATAAGTTGGTTGCAAATGTTTAACCACAGACAATGTAGAGTTGTTTCCACCACAGAATAAGGTCTTATGAATAATAAAACAAGCCATAGTAATAATAATAATACATTTCATTTATATAGCACACTTTAAAAACAACGTCATCTCAAGGTGCTTCACAATGCTATGAGGAGAAAATAAAATAAAAAAGATAAAAATATAAAGTTATCCAAGGAGCATATTGAATAAAATATGGTAATATAAAAAAGGTTAGAATAAAAAATAAAAGTAAAGGACAGTCAGTAAAATGCGTCGTGGAACAAGTCACATAACCTTCATCATTGACTCTTCTGCTTTGTGCTTCCCTCCACAGTTTGTGTGTACCTTAACAAGTACGGCAAAGCGGGCCCCCATCTGGACCCGCGGCGTATCCAGCAGCTCCCCGATCACTTTGGGCCGGGCCGGGCCTCCTCGGTCCTCCAGCAGTGTGTTCAGGCCTGCGTGGACTCGGCCCACAACCAGGGCACCGTCTTCTCCTGCCTCAAGTCTGGGCACGGGGGGGAAGTCATTTCGGGTGGGGATCAAACTCTCAATTTAATAAATAATATCATTTTTCTCTCTCACTCTCTTGCTTCTAGAAATAGTCCCTATGAAAAAGCATTTGAAAAGGCCTAATTGTTTACTTTTTTAAATTGTGGTTATCTCATCTTTGTTTAATTACCTGAAGTTAGTCAAATATCCCCCACCTAAATACAACCAGAGCATATGGAGCATTTGTTCCATTGTCATTGTTTGTTGAGGTCTGAAAAAAATGTCTTTAAAGCTCACACTCACATCAGCAAACATGTTTCTTTTAACAATTAGTTTCATGTAAAACAAAACGGTTTCAGCATTTAGTTTCAGTTAGTTTTAGTCCTGTGTCAAATGTCCTTGTAACAAAAGGTCATGAACATATGTAGTCATAGTTCTTGTTAACTAAATGAATACTGCTGTACATTTTATTGAACATCATCTGATCCTCTCTCCCTGTGCAGCTTACTTTGAGAAGCAGCAGCACACCCTGACCCTTCCCACGGTCAGCAGCGTCACCTACGTCCTCCGCTTCCTGGAGAAACTCTGCCACAACCTGCACTGCGACGCTCTGTTTGGCAGCCAGCCTGTGGCCAGAGGAGGCCTGCACTACGACACACACACACACACCGCCGGTCAGTGCCCTGCTCTCTCATCGTGACTTTACACACACATCATTTCATTTACAGCAGCTTTGTTGAGAATGTTGTCGTCATTTATGGAAACGGATCAGATACCTGGAGTTTCAGTTTTAGTATGCTGGAAAGAAAAATATTTTCCAGATTGTTAGTGTACATATTGTTAAAGTTGACAAGAATATAAGAATAAAACAGTTGTAGACAAAATATATATTCTTCTCTAAAAAAAACTTTGAGGCACCCTAAGTGTTCGTAAGTTCTTAAAAAACACAAATTCCCTGAAGAAAAAATAAACTATCGCCTGCCTCACTCATGGGGAGTTGTTGGCAGTAACCTTCTAAGACACAAATCTTGTAAATACTCGAGAGGGAAGGGCACCATGTGACTCCCCCCCCCCCCCCCCCCCCCCCCCGAGTGTCTGCACAGTATGTTCTACACTGCTCTACAAAAGGCACAACGTGTCTGCCATGCCTAGAATTTAGATAAGATAAATAAGACATAAAGTACATCTGTTTGGCTACCAGTTATTTTGTAAGTGTGCTCACAAAGAGGTTCTTTATTGGAGTAGAGAAAACAAGGTTGCAATTAATATGCTGTTCATTGCCATAATGCTTGTTTGTAATAAATGATGTAGTACTAGTGTGATCATGTTGAGGGTTAAACTGTTACAGTGTGTCTTCTTGCTGATGTGTTTTCATTTCCTTAAAGTGGACCTATCATGCTATATTTGAATAATATAGTGTAGGACCATACCTATATAAGGCATATTTATACTTTTTTTTGTGCAAAATACCAAACAGATCATGCATTTTAGCCATGCCTCATTTTGCTCAATTTGACATTTTTTAGCTCTGTGTTTGTAAGGGCAGATAAGGGCAGAACAGCACCATCTACAGGCCTGGCATATGTACTACAGCGTCTCCAGCGCTTTCGAACGGCAATGGCCGTGGCTGTCTCCTCCTGATTGGTGGAGTTGGCCCAATAGCCGTAGCGCCACTGTCCTGACGTCAGTAACGTGTTCAAATCTGGATCAGTTTTTATCAGATCCGTTGCAGCCCCTTTTTTAGAGATTTGGGTATGGAGGAAAATAGAGAGGGTTGTGTTTTCTGACACTTGGTGAGTTCCCTGGAACACCGGGGACACATATTCATGTATAAAAGACGTACAAAAGTGCATTTTGCATGATAGGTCCCCTTTAAGTCATCTATGTAATTCATGAACAATGCTTGAACATGTTAAGGCCCTGACACACCGAACCGATTTCGGCCGCCGATGAGCGTCCTGTCGCGCTACTCAGATTGGTGTGTCCTGCTCCGTCGTGTCTTTTCGGCCGTGCCGACAACTTCCTGAATTGGGAGGCTGTCGGCAAAATAAATCACTCTGATTGGCTATTCAGCTTAGCGAATCAGTGCATGAGAAGCGAAACAGAAGTGAAGAAGGCTATTATTTTTCATTTTCCAGTACCGCACTAAACATGTTTTCGATGACATTACATTACATGTCACTTGTTAGATGCTTTTATCCAAAGCGACTTACATAATCAATACTGTGGGCAATCCCCACAGGAGCAATTTGGGGTGAAGTGTCTTGCCCAGGGACACAACGACATGCTGACTGCAGTGGGGTTTGAACCTGTGACCCCCTGATCCGAACACCAACGCCCCACACGCCTCCCACCATTATAAGTCGTTATGTGAAACATTCTGTGAAACAGTCTGTGATGGACGAGAGTGAAAATGGAATGCACGCTATTTGTTATTTGTATATATCACACAGTCTGTCTTCCAGTTGCCTCTTTTGAAGGACGAATACACACTACCGCCGCCTGCTGGTAAGGAGAGTTATTGCCCCTTACGCATGCGCAGTGCGTACGTGCTACTTGGCCGTCGGCTGAAGTCTTTGCGGTGTGTTCCAGTGCGACTTTTTGGCCAAGGAGACGTGAGGCGACACAACAGTCGGGTCCGTCGGGACGTGTTCTTTGGTGTCAGTTTGGTGTGTCAGGGCCTTTACATGTCAAAGTATTCATTGACACAAACTAAATTCCCTCTTGTTCCTTATTTCTGTACCAAAAATAGAAACATTTGTGTTTTTTACACTGCCATCATATCATATGAAATGTGGTCCACCTTTGTCCTTTCTAAATGTTTCACACGTGGCTCTATCTTCTTTAGAGAGGAGGAGTTTTGGGGACAACCTAACGACGGGCCCGGGTCGAGGCACTAAGCGCTTCCTCCAGGACTTCAACAGCCCTCTGCCTCAGAAACTGCCCAAAACCCCCCGGCACTCCACTGATGGTATGTCACTTTTTTATTGTCATGCATTTTCCTTAATATCCACCCTGGGCCTCATTCCTGCCACACAGAGCTACTGAAAGATACTTGCATATCTGGATTAGGGTTGCAAAATTCTGGACATTTTCAAAGATGGAAACTTTCCATGGGAATAAACTGGGAAGTTTCTAAATTGAAGGTTGGCTCCTCGTAGGGAACTTAAATATAGTTGGGGAAAGTATATTTTAGCATAATCTTGACTAAAACAAACCGATGCCATTCAAGTACACTTGAATATCCATGCCATTCCTCAATCACATGCACATAGCACACTGCTTACTGCATGGCTATTGAGACCACACCCCCTACAGGCACTGTGCATTCCTCCATCACATGCACACATGATTTCTAGAAGACGTGATCACACTTTTGAGCCCAAAGCACAAGACAAATGAAGCCACACATTTGAGCCTGTGGACTACACAAAGTGAAATACATTTTGATGATATTATGGGGTAATATATTTATTTAATGTTTAAATTGCAAATATCACATACAAATGTATTCGTATAGTATAGTGTTTCTCAAACTTTTTCATACCACGGACACCTAACTCCCCAAATATCCAAAAACGTTTTTCTAGAACAGATTACAAATCGCCTGGAAATGGTACAAGCAAGTGGCAACATGTGTGACGAAGGTGTTGCGCTGGGCTATATCATGCAATCGAAAGTGAAACTTAAGCTCGCTCGCGGAGATATTCCCGCGAGAGTGCGGAAAACTTAAATGTATTTATTTATTTCAAAAATCAAATCAAGTTTTATTTATATAGCACATTTTTAAACGATTTTTGTTCGAGCCAAAGTGCTGTACATATAATAAAAATACCCTACAGTAAAGACACTTTACAGCAAATACAACAGCACAGTTTGTGCAGAATATCAGTATGTGAAAACGACACCCTCTGTCCGTAGACCCTCACATCGTACAAGGAAAAACATCTGGAGAAAAACCCACAAATATGGAATATTTCCAAAATTCCCCAGCTTAACTTCCCATGGAAATTTACCGGAAATGGGCTACCCTAATCTGGACATAAAACGATGTTTCTGCCACACAGTTGTAGTTATTGCTCACCCCTAATAAGAAATAAATTGTCTTTAATTCTACTATTAGAACAGTAGTGCATTATTTCACCTTTATATTAGATGATGAGCTGTAGTGCACCACAACATTCGCTCTGAGATATGACCAGTGCCCAGATCTGACTCCTTGCTAGTCATGTTGTCTTGTTTAAAAAGAAAAATGCTTTTGTATCATTTTTTTTTTCCTATGTTGTTTATTTGTGAGTAAAAAAAAGGGAAGTTCGCTTAAAGCTCTCGCCTGCTGTGTATAGTGTTTGCTTCTATAATCAGTTGCTATAAACTCTAATGCTGCTCCGCCTTTTATGTGGGACATTTACTTCTAGTAATCGACTGCTCCGAGTTGTCTAGTAAAGCCTTATGTAATCATATAAAAGGCGGCAGTAAATCAGAAGAAGCTTTTGGCTCAGGAGCGAGTCGTATTACGTTCTGGGCAGGAGGTTAATCATTTCATCTTCTTCCGATTTCCTTCGATTTTAATTAAGTTAATGGAACATTAAAAGAGATTTATGTAAAAGAGTTCCCTTAAAAGGCTCTTCCACTTCTCCAGAACATACTAAAATCAATGTTATACTTCCCTACAGTTCCAGGCATTTCTCTGTGATCGATATCATGAGAATAAGGCCCATTGTGCTTTTAAATCACTGTTGTTAGATTTTATTATTTTGTGTCCGCGCCAGCATGATGTGTCCGCCCTGTCCCATCCCTGACATGATATCTCAAAAAGGTCTTGAGGGAATTTGTCCCTTGAGTCTAATTAGACTAAATGATGAACAAATGTTATTCTGATGTTCAAAGGTCGAGTCAAATGTGAACTCAAAAAAGAACTCTAATTATGCCAAAATCTCACACAAATGTCTAATGGGAGACAATTAAATGATGACATTTTGTTTCCCGAAGGTCACTATGATATCATCATCATTTTCAACATAGAGGTTATTATGTCTAAGTGTACGTGCACATCTTGAAACTGTTTTGATTGTACATTTCTTCTTCTGCTGCTGCCAAGTTGATTATTTGTGTGAAAAACCCACTTTTAAGAATGTTAGCTTTTTTGGATGGACATACACCCATATTTGAAGCATTGTCCACTGTCACGGCTACAGCTGATGATGTTCTTTAAGCTTTATTAGCCAAGCATGTGAACACATTTGGACCCAGAGGTACTTTTCGTACGAGTCCACCCTTGTTTACTTCCTCTCCCTGGACGACAAGCAGGACATTGAGCTGCTGTTCAATGGTTGTTCTGATATAGAGCTCCGAGAGAGAGTTGTTTTGTACGTCTGCAAAAATAATAATGATAAAGTAGAGACAGGATGTTCCTCAATGGAAATGTTTTTCTTCTTTTTTGTTATGGTTTTGCACAATTTGAAAATAGATATAACAGATAACAAATGATAAACATTGCAGGAAGAGGCAAAATACCCGGCTACTTAAAGGGGACCTATCATGCAAAATGCACTTTTGTACGTCTTTTATACATGAATATGTGTCCCCTGTGTTCCAGGGAACTCACCAAGTGTCAGAAAACACAACCCTCTCTATTTTCCTCCATACCCAAATCTCTAAAAAAGGGGCTGCAACGGATCTGATAAAAACTGATCCAGATTTGAACACTGTCCTGACGTCAGGACGGTGGCGCTACGGCTATTGGGCCAACTCCACCAATCAGGAGGAGACAGCCACGGCCATTGCCGTTCGAAAGCGCTAGAGACGCTGTAGTACATATGCCAGGCCTGTAGGTGGTGCTGTTCTCACAGAATCAGCCCTTGCAAAAACAGAGCTAAAAATTTTCGAAATGAGGCATGGCTAAAATGCATGATCTGTTTGGTATTTTGAAAAAAAAAAAGTATAAATATGCCTTATATAGGTATGGTCCTACACTATATTATTATAATATAGCATGATAGGTCCACTTTAAATAATGTTAAAAATCACAATTTTATATAGAACTCAAGATCAATGTTCAAACAATTGCTTAAATGTAATAAAAAGGCAAACTTAAGAACAAACATATACATACTATACTAAAACTTCAAATAAGTAACACACATGTTCAGCAAAAAATCAACTTTATTCCTTTTAATAACGTCTTAATATAAACGTTTTAGTAATCTGGACACACACTGATGTAAACTGCAACTTCAGAGGTCTGGTGTTTTAGGCTGGGGGCCCCTTTTGTTATGATAGTGCCCCGTTATAGTAACGTTTAAGTCTTTATGTGTTCATTTGATCTCACTGTGACCCTTCTGTGTCCCCAGGTGAGTCCTTCATGGAGAACAGCGTTGGATCATCAGAGCACTTAAAGAAGAGCCCTCTCTCTCCAAACTCCACGGTACAAACGCCCGGCCTGCGGTCTCCCTCCAAGCTGCTGCTTCACAACAACTCTACAGGTAGGAAGAGACGCCGATTCAGGAGCAATAGTCGCTGTTGAACCCCATTTGAGTTCTTCAGTGCAGCGTTTGTATCACTCCTGAATGGTACGACCACACCAAACATAGTCCTGGTATTTACAACAAAAAGGCAGGGGACTTGAAAGATGAGTTTGAAGGCTGTCAGACACCAAATAAATACAAAAATAATGAAATATTCAAAGGATTTCACAACGCTGCAAAGTTAACCCAGCAACACTTGCAAAAGATTGCGAGGTAAACTGTTGAAATATGGCAGCCATGCTACAAAATAATTTACCAGCATTGTGCACTTGCTCATATTGAATTCGTCAACATTGCACTTTGCCGGATGACGACACTGCATTTTTTGGGTGGATTCCTCTACTTTGGCACCTCTGCTGCGTCGCTGGACAGACCCTATAGAAATGAAATGGGGGGGCTGCGTATATGCGCCCTGTCCAAAAATCCTAAAATCAGACTGAACTGTAAGTAGGCTTTAACCAATACAGTTTTTGAGGCTGATAATACTGCACTTGAACATTTGTGTCTCATCTTCATAGGAGGTGACTAATAGTAATAACATTTTGTTGCTGCAAGAGTTGTATCTTTACAAGATGAATTACACTTTTGGATTATAAGCTTGCAGAGCAGCTAGAATTACTTGTATTACTATATCTTTAGATAAAGATACATATGGATAATATTAGTGTGTAACAGTGGATTTTTCACTTTAAATACAATTCTGTGTCATGTGGAGTTGGCATTTACAGTTCAGGTCATTCATTTTGATAATAGTCATTTTCAGTTTGCTCTTTTGTACTTTCAGGCTCAGGCAGTTTTCGGGAGAGCCCCAGGCCGAGCGGTCAGGACCCCAACCTGTGGACCGTGGAGGAAGTGATGCAGTACATCAGAGAGATCGACCCAGTGCTGGCACCACATGCTGACCTCTTCAGAAAACATGTATGTATTCTCTCATAACTTAAAAAAAACCTATATATTTTGTTTTAGTTTTATTATACCAGTCATTGATGTTGGTTCGTACATTAGCACAACTTAACTTTCTCTTTGTTACCTTAAATAATAAAAATGCCCCCCCCCCCCCCTCTCTCTGCTGCAGGAGATTGACGGCAAAGCGCTCCTGTTGCTCCGCAGCGACATGATGATGAAGTACATGGGCTTAAAGCTCGGCCCCTCTCTAAAACTCCTCTTCCACATCGACAAACTCAAACGGGGTTGAGGCGGTCAGTTGACCAGCTCCCAATGGACTGAATCATCCTGTTCTAGGATCAGTATATCATGCACTTCCTATACTGACCATTTACATGTAGCAAGCTCCATCACACGACCATATCTGGTATTACAAACCCTGTACTGACCTCATCCAATGAGGAATGTTTATTTTGTGTAGCACAATCCAGCCCTAAGGCAGCATGGGATACGTAGGATCACACACTTGTCCGCCATCTGTTTCGCATTTCAGTTTAACTTGAAAAGTCCTCTATGGCCATGTTAACTGTACAAGTTTTTTGGGCCATTTTCTATAATGTTACATTTTATTCTGAACATTTCATATTTTGTACTTCATGGATTTATCAACTTTAATTGTTGCCTTTTTCAACGGTTTGTGTCAGAAATGCTAAAAGGAAGACAAGAAAAAACGATACTCATCCCAATAGTTGGGAATGCTTATGGTTAACTCCTCAATTTGAGGAAACATTTTGCAACCAATGCTATAAAAGTAAAAGAAAAACACTATTCTGAAAATACTGCCATGAAGAAATCTGTTTATTAATTCTTATTCTGGATGTTGTTTACGATGCCTTGTCTTGTCTTTGTTATTTGTACTTTTTTAATTTTTATACTATATTATTAGAGTTCCTACATGGAGAGCCCTATCATGCTTAACATTGTTCAATAAATATATAATAATTCAAATCTTGGTTCATTTCATCTAGTTTATTTGTTCTGCAAAGCCACTATTTGTGATAACATTTAGTTGTATTGTTTACAGTAGAGAAATTGATCACGTCATTTTATTTATTACTAAAGTTTTATATTTGTCCTTTTTATCCCGTGGCAAACTGATTATATGCCTCATACACATGTGGTGTTAAAAGTCTGGTCTTTTAAGGCTGTAAAATGTATATATATGGCTTTAATTCTGAGATATTATTACATTCTGAACTACAATTAGAAGAATAGTCAATTTAGCGCCAACTATATTCCATGTAGTTCCAATGGCTCACCAGCAGGGGGCACCACAGCCTCGTGTATCTCTTGGCAGTCGTGTCTCCTTGCTGTTTCTCCTTGGGACTCACTGATGCACTGCCATGGGTGGCCATATCTCCATCTGGTAGACTCTGCATGATAATCTGAGAGATATTTTAACATCACGTTAAGATTTCTTATCTTGTTGTTGCTCTTTTGTCAGCATTTCTCCTGAATTGCTTTCTAGTAATTGTATGTATTTTCCATGAGTTGAAACCCCTCTGTTCTCTGATTATGTCAGCCTATTGTCCATGCTGTTTCTGGTAAATATTGCTGTCATTGTTCCTGTCAGTACATGAGTGGGCTAATAGGCTTGTGGGCGAAAAAAAATGATTTGTGTGTACTGAAGCGACTCGGCATTAAACTGAAAATCTTACCACATCCTCCTAGTGAAAACAGTAAAACATCTCGCCCAATTGCAGGGACCAAACCCAGTGCTTCTAACTGACATGGATGAGTATGAATGCACTTGTCTGTGTGCGAGCATATGACACACACTCACAATCTGTGCTGTGTTTGTGTGTTCTGCTCAGGCACATGTGACAGGCTCACAGCTCGTGGCTGATGCCTGTGCTTGTTGATGTGTAGGCCTAATGGTAGCCAAAGTGTTGTGCGTGAAGCCAGCGCTATTTATAGAAATCACAGCTCCTTGTGCTGCATATTGTGTTTGTGAAGGGAGCTTTTACTTAGGCATCTAACACTATAGTGTGATTTTTTATCAGGTGCCATTCTTGTGTGGCTGATATGGCAGCAGGCCTGTTAGTATTGTATATTCAACATGACTGGCTGAGTTCTCTGAGTGATAGATTATTTTTGTTGTTATGACACACAGTGATACTGGGGACTTTGGGGGAATTCTCCCCTTGATATTTACCAACAATGCTGAGCAGTCATCTGCATCCACTGTCTTCGCCCCAGCAGCCGTACAGCATGTCGAGCAGAGAGACAGTTTCGGTATGAAATGGGAGTTTTGCGGGCCTGCAGATCACTCATAACTGTTAGAAAAAAACGACTTTCTTAGGTCTTGATTTCTGCAGAATTAATGCCTTCCCATAACGTGACACCTGAAGCTGTCGTGTTATGCAGAGAAATACCGTTTTGTCTGCAGAACAAGCCTGGCATTTTGCACTCTGCAGGCAAGTGTGGGCACAGTTTAGGAGAAGCAATAGAAAAATAAGATGCTCGCCAGCCACTTTATCTCCAGATCTCACCAGAATACCCAGCATGCCTTTGGGCTGACAGTTGAGTTGCCTTGGGGTGAGGGTCCTGCTGGCCTCGTGCCTCGGAGCACAACATGGTGTCTTTTAATTTCTTTGTCAGGTTGTTCTTTTGTAGATGATAGTACAGTATTGTGAGGACCATGGATATAATCAAACTGTTACTGTAAGGTTTATTTATTTATTTGCATTCATTTTATATATTATAATAGACGTTAACTCTAGTGAGCTCCACACAACATTTTGGACTACATTGTTTTGTATTTGTCACCAGTAGAACTAAGCATCTGGTTCAAATAACCAAATAATGAGGAATTGAAAAATGAAAAGCACACCTCTGAGGAAGCCTAACATCTCAGGGAAAGCCACCTTTAAACCCAAAATATGTTTTGATATCCTCATAACACTGACAGCCATGTCTAGCTACATATTTTTAGAAATTCTTAAATCATTACCTTGTATAAATGAGGCTGCTGACCTGCTCTGCTTGCTTGTCTCCAGAGACTTTTGACTGGGAGATAATATCTGCTAAGACAGTTGTCTTGACAGCCCTCACCCCAACACGCTCACCCAGCCAGCCTCGTGCCTACAGATGGTGTGGGCCGGATAATGTCAGGATTTTCCTACCAGGAAAATGTTGGTCACACGACAGCACGGGTATTATCTATCCACGAGTGCAGAGTGCAGAGAAATATGCACGGATCACATATAAACACATCAAAACTAAATACATGGATGAATATGACATGCATGATTTTCCTTGGCATTAACACGTTGATATTAGAATATATGGATATTTCCCCGGCTGCAGGATAACACAAAGCCTCACAAGAACTGCTCTCTTGTATTAATTCCACCCCCAGCCTATAGCCTGTTACTCTGTCTTTGGTAGCATGTGCTTGCCACTGTCACCAGATTAGCACGCAGGCTTAAAACCCCGCTCACAAAGACACTGTGTACTGAACATGGTCTGTGCTAATACTGTTTCCCATTATTCCAAGCTACAAACCTGTAACTCTCCCCACAGTATATCCCTGCTCACAATAAACCAGGCCAAGTCAAATCAAATTGTGAGTACAAGAGGTGAGCGCAATAACATGAACCTGAATGTTATTAAGACTGCCAGATTCACCTCTACATTCTATTGACGTGTACAGTGTCATGGCAAAGATATCTTGCTGACACATTATCAAAGAAATGTAAGCTTCGAATGGGTTGTATTTGCTTTGGATTTGGATTTATTTACATTGCACAAGTTTTGTTATTATCTCTTAAAACTGAGAGTTTATTTGATCTAATTTCTATGACTGAATCAGTTACAATTGCATGATTTCCATCTGCTAATCCTTGCAGTTGAAAAACTAACAAATTAAAAGACAAAAAGGTTTGTGTTGCAAGTTCATCTCTCCTGGGTATGTGCTGGCACAAAGGTTAACTTTGTGCCACTGTTGCGAAACCGCAGCTCTGCTCAGTTTGGCTCCACTGTGCAAATCACACAACCCTTAAATATTTACCAGCGTTAGACATTGTTGGGACACCTCGATGTGTTTGAGCCGGCTCGACGGAGAAGTGTCAGCTGTGTGCAGGAAAATAAATTATTTACACCCCCTCCTTCTACTTCAAAGCGCTGGCAAACCATTCAACCTCAGATTTGGGGAGGGGGGGCCGGAGGAGGAGTTGCCAGTCACTAAGCAACCTGTGTGTCACCTGCCCCGACATGCCAAAATCAGCAACTCACCTCTGGAGACTGCATTCACGAGGTACATGGCGGCATTTCAAGCCTCCTCAGCAGGATTTCATATGGAAAACCAAACAATTACAGAGACGCTGCTAAAATATGCTGAGAAAAGAGTGTGATGTGTTTATATGGTTTTTCCCTTGTGTGAAAAAAGGGAAAGTTGCTTCGAAGATGCTGAGCTTTACTAAAAAGCCCCGGAGCAGAATCACAGTGCAACAACTGATGTTTTCCAAGCCTGTTGCATTCACATATCTTTTTATATGATAGTGCTTTATGATGGGAAGATGAGGCTAAGGGAGGGAACCATATGACTTCATGTCAGATGGAGAAACGAGGTGACTGTTCAGCGAGAAAATCAGGAAGTTCGGCATGAGCAACGTGTCCACTGGATGAACCCTGCCCTGAGGGAGCTGATGTTTATTTGCCCCCTGTCAGCACACATATACTCATACACCACTACACATACAAACATTCACAAGGTTTCTACAAAACGTGCCAAAAACCTCCAAAATCTCTTGTTAAAGCAGACAAGCTCAAACCTGTACCCTCTTCACACAATCTTCACACAGAGATGGAGACATGCCCCTTGTTGTCAATAAATAACTCATCTTGGAAACTCAAGTTTTCCTCTCACTTTGTACTCACCATCAGGTCATTCACACTTGGGGATTCTTGGTCTTTTTTTTTTTGCATCTCAGAAATAGCACACAGTTCAGTCTCACTCTTCACTTTCAAGATGACACATTTCCAGCACATCTTTAGTATGTAGTCATTTCCAAATGTACTAATTTGATTTTAAATAATGGATCCACCGTTATCTACATGGATAATGTATGGTGTAAGGATCACATTGACCAGAGATGAGACATGAATCCTTTATCTCGCCCTGACTCCACACTGATATTGAGGTATCCCTGTTAGCCTGTTTGATCAGGTTGTGTGCGGATGTGTGTGTGCATTTGAAGACCTGGCCATGCGTGACAACACCAAAATGACCACCTATCCATCACTGGCGCTAGGGCCCGAGTTACCACGAGCTCAGGCATCGCACCAGCTGGACAAAAAACCACTAGACAGCGCTCAATGCATAGACTAATACAGTTCAGAAAAGTGTATTTAGCATACCTCGCTTGATGTTTTATTGAAGGGTTTTAAATGGAATCATAAAAGTGTTGTGGGAAAAACCCACCACCTAATTTCTAAATCGTAAACCAGGGAGATCCTAACATTCTCTCTCGGCATCTCTGTATTTCTTGTCTCTTTCACTTTGCCTCTCTTTCAGAATGTGGCTTTTGGTCTCTGACTTATATGGAGAAACCGGCAAGCTGCCACAGGAAGACAGTGTTGCATTGAGCAGTTGATGTGGGTGGGCTGAAAAACAAGAGAGTAAGAAGAGCAGAAGTAACTGTAAACGTCTCCGAGTGTCCCACCCTGCTTAGCATGCGTCTAGACTGGCCTCTGTGAGGCGGGCGGCAGTCATAACAAGGGATTGGGATAGCAAACAGGGCTGTTTAGCAAAGTTAACCATTCGTCTATGGAGTCACAATCAAGAAAACAAAACCTCTGCATTTAATTGGGGCTAAACAAGGAGCTCCCAGTGCAGCGTACAATTATGAGATATATGAGGCGACAGAGTTCTGACAGCGTGCCAACATGCCCCATGTGCCACACACCAGAAGACCATCTCACCAGATTG